CAAAATCAGTCACGCAGACATAAACCATTATCCAATGGGATTCTAGTGGAACCACAAGTTAGAAGAAAACTCCTAAACCTAGAGCTTACCTCAAAAGCTTCTCCGGCAATAACTGGATCCTCCAATATTATTTCCCTGGATTCCACTCTATTAACATAACAAAATAACATCAATCACTCAGTTAAGTGTCACTTGCAATTCAAACAACTAACACTTACATTGTGAAACCTTAAGTGTTATTTGAATTCAAGTAATTGTTGTTAAAGAATCTATGTAAGTCACCTAGTTAATTGTGGCTGAATTATGGCCTTAAGGTTTAACCGTTTTTACAAGCTTTCCAATTACCAATTATTGGTCCTTTACATAGTTAAATTCAAGTAATCATCATTCAATTAACTTAGCATGTCCCAATTCACTTAAAAGCATATGGTGGCCGAATGTGACATGCACCAAAACATAATCTTGCCAAGCTTTTCACAACATAATCAAAGTTCATTTAACATACTTTCATCATAAATATAATCACCAACATCATGAATAATGCCAAATCATCCTTAATGGTGAACTTCATTTAATTGACCTAATTGGTCACATAATGTTCAAATGACTTTCAATGCTTTCAAATAAAAAGCTAATCATTCTAATCATATTAACTTATCTTAAAACTCATCATTATTAAATCAACAATGATTAAACAAATTTCTATTCATAAAAACCCTAATTTGGCCGAATGTTAACATATAAGGAAACATGGATTTTACATGCTTTTTCATGACTAATGAATACTCCAATCCATTACTCATATACTTAGAGCATCAAAGCATATTTTGACATCAAGAATTCCAAATCCAAAGCCTATTTAAATAGGTTGGCCGAATTGATACATATAGGAAACCATAGCTTTTCTTCAAGCTACAAATAGTTTCCAATCAAATTTTTCATCAAATTATCATGTAATAATCATATTTTCAGAAAGACTTTTCATCAAACACATGGTATATATTAAAACTACCATGCATAGGCCGAATTCATGCTTAGGTTTTTCAACAAACGAACATGCATTTTAACTAGCTTTTCATGCATAGTTTAACTTCAAATCAACAGAAAAAGAATAGAAAAAGAAAGTTTCTGAGACCCATTCTTTTTACGTGAGTATCAAAAAAATATTTCTGTATAAAATCATAAATATTTTTCCAATATTTTTATATTCGTAACATACGATCTCTTATACAACATACATTAATAGTTCGAAATCTCTATTTATCATAATAATCAGATATACAAATACACATAATAGAGACATAAGAATGATGTAGCTATGTATTGTTAAGTATATTGCATGATGCTTGCGCAAACATTCATGAATGTAGTAGAGATATCATATCATATATGTAAATATAAAATTTAGTAGTATACCAAAAAGTAGTTGTACATTTAATATAATGATCTCTCCCATGCACAAATGACAAATCACTTTTGTTACATGAAAAAAAATTAATAACAAATGTTGCATTAGCAACATTAGGGGTGTTAACGGCCCGAGCCGAGCCGAGCTTTGATCTTAACGGGCCAAGCCTGTATTTAAACGTGTCTGACTGGCCTTAGCCTGTTACCTGTTACGAATATAATATTGTCCTCTGGCCTAGTTTATTTACAAAAAAATAAAAGCTTGTGTGAAGCCTGTCTTAGCCTGTTAGCATGTTAAAGAATAAAAATAAGAGAACAGAATTCCACAAAAAATCAATTTCCAGATAGAAACCTTAGCTTCCAATTTGCAACAATAATTTACAAAGTCTACAATAAATAAATAAAATTAAAGTGAGAGAAGGTAGATAACATGTTATATTATCTTAGCCCATTATAAAAAAAGTTCCAACAAAAATAAAAATAAAATAAAAAATAAATTGACACAAACGAGCAGTGCACAGTGGAACGAATGAGTTTTTGTGGGTTTGTTTGTGTGAAGGATGATGAAGGATAATATAGAACAGCACTAGTAATTCCATAAATATACATAAATTCAATATATATCCAAATAGCATAATATAGAACAAAATCATTCAAAAAGTCTGTTAAACCAATAAAATGGGGTGAAATAAATTGATGAGAGAGAGTTATTACAAGTAGTATAAAAAGTATAAATAAATATTTATATACTAGGCTAGCATGGGAGGCTCTAAGGCCGAGCTTCTGAATTAGAGCCTGGGGTCTTTTTATTAAACGAGCTTTTATACAAGTTCAAGTCTGATTCCAACACGAGCTTTTATTAAACGAGCTCAGCCTTTACGAGCCAAGCCAAAGGCCCCTGGCTCGTTTACCACCGCTAAGCAACATAATAACTTGTAACGGAGTGTTTAGCATATATGTAAATCACACTCACCAGTTACCTATTTATGTCATCTCATTTCCTTTTTTTTTATGTCTAAACATTTTTTCACATATAGAATAAAATTCTTAAAATCAAATAATTTTAATTTAAAATCTGAGGTCATAAAGACATGTAAAATTATAATAACAATATAATAGCAAAAGTGGATATATCGTATTTCCAAATATTTTTCATGATAGCATTGGTACATCTAAATGCCTAAAACAATAATCAAACAAAAACAACAAAATTCTGTTATATATAACAAGGGAAAAACACTTCTTAAATTGCACGAGAAGTGTTTTATTGTATTGTGATACTTCGATTTATGTATAAAGTTTTTTTTTTTAATTAGTGTGAGGTACATCATTAATTAAGTCATAACATGATAAAATAATTCCCATGAAACATGAGAAAATTAAAGTCATATAACAATCTTAAAATGTTATCACATCAAATGCCATCAAATTTTATCTCTATTCAAGTTTATTTTTTTTATTTTTTTTTTGATAACATTAAGGGGCGAAGCCCCAAACAAAACCAAACTAACAACCAGAAACAAAAAATAACTATCCAGGGTCTATACCCCTACAAGAGGAGATTCCCTGAAGATCGTGATCAAATAACTGAGCAAGGTGAAACGGCATAACTCTATGACTCCAGAATCCAGTATCTTTGTGAAGAGCAGACTTGGCTAACCAATCAGCACAGGAATTGGCTTCCCTTGGAATATGAGAAAGCGTTACCTCCCAATCCTGACCGATGAGTGCTTGTATCTTAGCCACTATACGAGGCTGACAAGCTGCATTGCAATCAGCAAGCAAAGAGAATACTTCAGAAGCATCTCCTTCTAGTTCCACCTTCTTAAATCCCAGTTGCCAAACCAATCCCAGACCTTTTAGAGTTCCGCAAAGCTCCGCCATTAAAGGAGTGCAAGCACCAATATGATACTCAAAGCCTCCCAACCAAGAGCCATCATCAGATCTGATAATCCCACCACAAGCAGCCACCTCAGTATTCCTTTCAACTGCCCCATCAATATTAATCTTCACCCAATTTAACCTTGGAGGTTTCCATAAACTCATACGAGTTGGATGAGTGCTAGTAGTAGCCATAGCCTTCCTACCCATGCAGTTACGAACTTCCTCTATATACATAGCAATTATGTGCGTCCCATGGGTTGGATGCTGGTATAACAGGAGTAAGTATTTGTTTATCAAAAATAAAAAAAGAGAGGGATGTGTAAGGACATAATTATAAAGGTAAGAGTAGTATAAATATATTATATTTTTTATATTTAATAAAAGATAAACTGAAAGTTTGGTACATTTGATATAAAGAAAATATTTTTGAGAAGGAAATCAAAACGTTCCTTTTTCATAAATAATATTTTTCAAACAGCCTTCCTAAAAATCCATTGAAAAACAAAACTTTCATAAACAGTTGTTGTAAATGATATCAGTCATTAAATTTCAGGATTTCGATCAAAATGGTAATGCATCTCCATCCGACAATTTTGTGGTGTTTAAAAACTTGACCCGGCAATTGACTCGGCTGAGGTCAGGAGTTATGGGATCACAGGTTTAACTGGAAGGTCATGGGGTCATTTCATTGACCCGATTTTATACATTAAAAAAAATATAAATATATATCCTATCTAAAAAATTCAAAAAAATCAAACTACCGATCATTAAAGATTCAAAATATACTTAACATAATTTAATCAATTACATCCACAAATCAATATTCACAAACTAATTAAAGTATCAAACTATCAAAGTATAAAACACATATTCCAATGGAGTTAATGAAAAGTTATGTCATCAAAGTCAGGCCTTTTTTGTCCTTCTTATGCACCTACAACAGTATGTGAAAGGAGATTTCTTATCCAATAGAAAATAGCGGAGGAGAGGCGACGACACGACAAATTAACGGTGGGAGAAAAAAACCAGCATGGTGAAGGAAATCACCGGATCAGGGAGACTGAGTTTGGTTCTAGGAGAGAAGATCGTAAGAGAATAAGAAAAATGATTTAGATTTCAGATCTAGTTCTAAATATAGGCAGCAACGAGTTTTGTTTTAATTTTTTTTTTACATATCAAACAATGTCATTTCGTGCATAATTTAAAAAAAAAAATACAGTGACTTATTTGACCCTTTTGATCCGTGAGTCACAGATTCAATCAGAGAATTTTGGGGCTAGAGGAATAACTTATAAGTAAGATCAAATTACTAACCCGAACCCTCATAAAAAAAAGGAGTCAATGACTCAGAGTGGGACAAAATTTTAAAACACTGGTTTTGAATCTTTTCATACATGTAATAGTGGAAGGCTGCAAATACTCATAAAACAAAAAATATTGTTATTATGAAAATATCATTTGTTCTTACCATCTGAAAAAGCATAGAAAATTCTTATCCACGTGCTTGACACGTCACCGTGACATATAGCAATTTTAATTAAAAATAAAATAAAATCTTCAAAGTCAACTGAAAAAAAAAAAAAAAAGGTGGTGATGAGTCAACACAAAGAACATAACTATGGTGACTATATATACCCGAACATCGCAATTTTTCTCATAAACCAAAAGAGCTTCGAAACTTGAGACTCTTCTTTCCCTTTAGACAGAGCCACTATGGTTGACGTTACACCCCGAGACTCGCTGAAGCGCCAAGCGAACCGCTTCTTCATGATCATAACGGCTGTGCTGACCATGATGGCCAGGCGAGCAAGCCGTCTGCCACTGAGGTTGAAGGCGGCGGCGGCGACGGAGCCGGCGATGAAAGACGATTGGAAAGTGGAGCTGAAGTCGCCGAGGAAGCTGCTGAGGTCCATAAGCAGCAGAACGTCGTCGTTTATTCGTAAGAAGAAGGGGAAAGAAGAGGAGGGAAAGGAGTGGGGAGATGGTGGGGTGTGGCAGAAGGCAATATTGATGGGGGATAAGTGTGAGCCGTTGGATTTCTCGGGAGTAATGTATTACGATAGTAACGGGGAGCTGGTGAGCGAGATCCCTCTCATCACGTCGCCGCCACGTTAGAGTCCCGTGCCTTGTAATTTCACCCGGAACAAACAATCGAAGCAGCTGACCGGAGGAAACAACAACAAATTGGAATAAGTTGAAAGCTGAAACTCCGAGTTAGGTTTTTTTTTTTTTTTTTTTAAATGTATGTGTGGATGGGTGAAAAAATTGTAACTGTGGAGCCACCTTGTAGATTGTGTTAAAGGATGTTTAGATTTATCTTAGGTAAGTCTTTGTTGGTTTGTTTTTTCTTTTTTTTTTACGAGTAAATATATATTTATTTTTTTGTATTCAGCAAATTTTACGATGCTCGCTTTAGTTTTTAGTAATTAAAGAGGCTATTCGTGGTCTTTAAGAAATTCAAAGTGGATCCATTTTAGTTCTTTTGAAGGACTAATATGGGTCTTTTTTTAATTTGTGAGGGATCACGATTTCAACTAAATGGAACCATTTTGAATTTCTTAGAGATCACGAATAGCTTTTTTATTTGCTAGGGACTAAAGCGGACATCGTATTTGCCGAGGATCAAAAAAATTTACTCTTTTCCTTTTAAAAGTGTACGATTTTAATTTAGAGAAATTGGTAGCACTTCGAGCTTTTCTCTTGGTTACAAAAGTCAAATTGTCTTTCACGCGCATCTCATGGCATTTGGTTTACAGACTTCGACCCCACTGATTAAATAGAGCTAATAGCTAGCTAGTACAAATATTAGAACAATTAAACGCTCGATTTTTTTCTTCTCTCTTTATTTCTTTTATATTTAAAAGATTGAAGAACTAGTACCCACTTGTCAAGGGAGCAATCGGTTTAAAAAATGCAATAAGGTCAATGAGAATGTTATAAAATTATGAAATTGACATGAAAAACGACTAGTTAAGATGAATTTTATATAGCCACATAATTAATTAATCAGAAAAAATATTGCAGTTAATACAGATAAGTTATTTGTATTTATTTTCAAAACGACGTCGTTTTGCGATTGAAAGATTAAAAAATTATAATTATAAAGACTATAATAACCTTGAAATAAATTAAAATTACAAAAACACCATGATTTTTGCTCCAAAATGATGTCGTATTGGGCTTACTGCTGATAACTTATATGTAGTAACTGCATAAAAAGGGAACCCTTAATTAATTTAATGAATCAAAATTTTATGCGAACATTTGTATATTTATTTATCTTTTGTAAAGGAGTTACGACTTGTAATTTGAATTAGGATTAGCACTAACGATTTATATTTTTTTTTTTTTGATTACAACGATTTATATTTTTAGTTAATTAACTTTGCGATTTGTAATTTGAATTAGGATTAATTGTAGATAATATTTTTACTTGTGTCTTATCGTGTACAATTGTAATAACGTATATAAATAGACAAATTCGTGGCAATTAAATTATCAAATATCTGTTGCCATAAGCAATGTAGTCAAAATCGAGTTTTTACGTAGAAACGGAATGAGGTGGTAGAAACGTAAGTCGTAGAAACGAGACGAAACGTCCTAAGGTTAAGATACAATATATATATATATATATATATATATATATATATATATATATATATATATATATATATATATATATATATATATAGGTCATTATCATTTTACACCAGTATAAGTTACACTCTCAATCTTGTCCGTTGATCCCAATTATATCTAAGGCTCTAATTTTTTAGTAATGTGAGTCATTGGATACAAGTGGATCAATGGTCAAGATTGAGTGTAGACTTCTAACTCTTACACCGGTGTAAGAATATCTTTCCCATATATATATATATATATATATATATATATATATATATATATATATATGGGTTTTATTAATCTCATGTTAAAAGAGATAAATTATCTCATGTCATAGAGACAAACTTGTGGGCTTCACCACCTAAAAAAATAAAAATAAAAAGGTGGCACAGTTATCGAAGGGTGTGTAGGAGGAAAAACTTATCTCATGTAGCATGAGAATAGTTTTTTTTTTCTCTCTCTCTCTCTATATATATATATATATATATATATATATATATATATATATATATATATATGGCTTATCGTTTCTCAAGCGGCTTGAGATGATTTTATCTCCGGCTACTAAATTATAACCGTACAAAGATGGATCAATGGTGATAAAGGAAGAGAGAAAATGGGAATCATAACCATTCAAAGGTGAATCAATTAATATAAGGAAATAAATAAATAAAACGACGTAGTTTTGGAATGGCCGGAGATAAACGTATCTCAAGCTACTTGAGAAATATTTTTCCCATATATATATATATATATATATATGGGCTTATCGTTTCTCAAGCTGCTTGAGATAATTTTATCTCCGGCTTCTAAATCATAACCGTACAAAGATGGATCAATGGTGATAAGGGAAGAGAGAGAAAAAGATAATCATAATCATTCAAAGGTAAATCAATTAATATAAGGAAATAAATAAATAAAATGACGTAGTTTTGGAATGGCCGGAGATAAACGTATCTCAAGCTGCTTGAGAAATATTTTTTCCATATATATATATATATATATATATATATATATATATACATATATATATATATATGGGCTTATCATTTCTCAAGCTGCTTGAGATAATTTTATCTCCGGCTACTAAATCATAACCGTACAAAGATGGATCAATGGTGATAAGGGAAGAAGGAAAAAGGAAATCATAATCATTCAAAGGAGAATCAATTAATACAAGGAAATAAATAAACAAAACGACGTATGTAAATTGCAATAAAGAACTAACTGAATAACCTCATGATATAAATGTGTATCTAGTCACGGAACTACAACACGTAGACCGAACAATATCCTGATACATTATACAACTCAAGTCTTAATAACCATAACATAGTCAATGTGGCATGGACAACCCCCATGCTTACTAAATCAGGCAACAAGCCAAACAAAGTCTCAAATCAACTAATCATATAATGTAAATAAAACATGGCCAACATCCAAGCATATCAGTAAGACAATATGCATATCAACTCAACTTCGGCCTCCTGCCGTTAAAGGTATCAACCCCTGAGGTACCTGAACCTGAAAATGTGCCCCAACACGGGGTGAGATCTCTAAAAAGAAATCTCAATAAGACAAGGGGTCCTCAAGGATCTCTCCACCCCAAGCTCACTTACATGTGCAATATAAGTTCCAAAACAGTATAACAATATCCTTTCCAAAATCTGTGCAATGCAGCATATATCCATGTCATGTGTGTAATAATCCTACTGGCCAGAGAATAAACATGTAGGGATTACATATGTGTACAACCTACAGTACAAGGAACACCGCTTGTACCTCACCCACAGATTTACCATCTTGTATGTCTCCACATACTCAGGCTTACCGTCTAGGTGGTACACCACATACACATCATATGGCACTTGCACTCAATCGACAACTCAATAGCATATCAAGAATCATCTTTTATTTTCATAAAAACACAGCATGCATATAACCACCCCTCCATGAGGTATGGTGGAACCAACAATGGGTAAAATCGAGGACACGAAATCTTACCTCTCAAGCTAACAGTCCAATCAAGAGTCCACACCAGCCCAAGGTCACCAAATAGCACAATTACAGTCTGTTTATAGCAGCAATAATCATTAATATTCATAGCCCAATGTTTCACTAAATGTTTAAGGCTTTCCAACTTGTTTTAAGTGATTTTAGGCTTAATCTGCAGGAGGTATTCGAATACTCCTCGATGAGTATTCGAATACTCCATGTCTCCAGAAAGTATCTGAAAACTTTCACTAAAATATTCGAATACCACACAGTATCCGAATACTTTTCCCACGGTATCTGAATACTATATAGTATCAGAATATATTTTCTACGGTATTCGAATACTTTTCTTCCCAGAAAAGTATCCCAATACTCCTTCATGAGTATTCGACTACCTGCTGATGAGTATTCGAATACTCCACGAAAAGTATTTGAATACTTATCAGACAGAATGCAAAAACTCGTGCATTCTTTGCATAATTCCCATTTTAAAGGTTCTCTCACGATTTGGAGTCCAATAACTCCACAAATAGAAGTTCATTAATGTATTTCAAGCATAGTTTATCAACCTTTAACTTGAATGATCAAAGTTTCACTCTTTAATGACTCAAACAAGCTCGAACCATGAAATTTTAAAGAGGATGATCGTGGGTTACCTCAAGGCTCAAGAACTGAGAAAAACGGAATGACTTGGAGCTTCCTACACAGTTCCACAACACTGACTTCACAAAGCCACGAATTTGACACACAAGATCGGTCTTTGTTGCAACTTTAGTAAGTGTACTAGTCGTACAAGTAATAAAATGATGAATAAAGATCGTTCCCTCGAAGATTTGTGTTCAAACACCAACTAACCATATATACTTAAGTTGAATCAAACAAAAAGTTATTGATTGCATTGATAATTGTCACCAGAAATTTGAATTGTATTAAAACTTGATAAAATAAATAAAATGTGAATTGTAATTTTAAAAAACAAGTAGTCAGAAATCAATTTCCCTCAAGCATGAATTTATGTAAGAATCATTCCTATTATGAATTATCCCCCATGTGATGTTAATTAATCTTTTTCTTATCACCAAAATGTAATCCCTTACTATCCTGGTTGATACATTAATCAAGAACCCCAATCCATTGGTGATTCTTTTCTTAATACATGCATTAAACACTAAGATCTTAAAGATTACATCAGAGTCCTAGCATCAATCCCTTGAATACTAGAACACTGATGATGAAATTACCAGTTGTAGAAATAATGTAAACATCCCTGTTCTACACTACTCCTTTGATGGAAAGAATTGATACAAGAAACTTCATACCATCACATAAAAGAAACTCATAATATTCAGTCAACTATACATAAATCATCCTTGAGTTCCATTGAAATCAGACTACAAAGAACTCTACTCAGACATAATAAAAGAAATAGCAAGAGAAGAGGAAAGATCAAACTCCATTGTCATGATGGTTGATGTAACATCCCGTATATATCCGGTAGTGTTATCATTACATCGTATTAAGCTACGCTTAATTAAAAATGCGGAATATTCTTTTTCTTTTCAATTATGACGTCATTATCAATTACCAACTTGATTACTTAATCAATTTCATAAAATATCGCCTGAA